AATTGACAAAATTATAGTAAACTCGAATGAATTGTCTGCAAATGATTTTGTCCCACTAGATGACCATCAATGCAGCGGTAGCTACTTTTTGTAATGGAAAAGACTTATACTGGGCCAGGTGGCGGGGTAAGTTTTGTAACACATAATATTGTTTAGATCAAATAAATTTAAAATTTCCTTTAAATAATACCATCAAATATTACTTTATTAATTAATTTTAATTTATTAATTAATAAATATAAATTATTTTATTAATTATTAATTTTAATTATTACTATAATTATTTTTATTAATTAATTAAAATAAAAATAAATATTTTAAAAATAATATTTTACCATTTACCATAAAAATAATATTGCGTAATAAACTCCACAATGCTGGTTGGAATAATTTTATAAAAGGTAGTGATATAAAAATAATATTTTTATATTAATTTTTTATATAATGTTTATATATTATTAAATAAATAAATATATTAAATATCATAAATTTTAAATAAATAAATAAATAATTTTATTAACATATTAAATAATATAAAAAATTATTTTTAACTTATTTTCATTATAAAATGTTTTGAGCGCGACAATGACGTAAACAGTTTAAGTCATCCCAAAAAATTGGTACAGTACTCGATAAAGAAGTGCTCATGACATACAAGCCACTACAGTGGATTAGGTTATTATTACATTTATTTTTAATGTCATTGATTATTATATTTTTATATTTATTTTTAAGTAAAATTAAAAAATAATAATTAATTAAAATAATAAAAATGTGACAATAATAATAGGATGTAATAATAACATTACTTCATTACAATTACAATCTGGACTAATTTTTACGTGCACCCCGGGATTGAGCTACCATGGGAAAAAGAGGGCCGCTTTTGAAAAATGTTTAATATAAAATATTAATTTTTAATTAGTATAAAATTTGTACTCGTGTTTGAATTAAAAGGATTAATTTGAATTTAAAGAAAACATTTAGAAATTAGGTAAAGAGATTATTTTTTAATTAATTCTTAAGATAAATAATTTTATTTAAGTATGACAAAAAAATTTACATTAATATTAATTTTTTGTATAATTTATATTCTATTAATTTAATAAGTAGATTTGATATTTTAATTTAAAATTTATTAATATTTGT